CCACCTCAGCCCCACCATGGTTGGGGCCGAGGTGAGAAAATTTGAGGAAATAGTACCTTTAGATGGCCAGAAATGACAATTTTATACAGTAAAATTCACCATTATCACACCATCATTATTTAGTCTAGATGAAGCACCAACAAATTTTTCATGTTCTTTAATCAGGGATTTTCGGCAACAACAGAAATCTAATTTCTTTGATGTATTTAATGTACTCGATCTACCTCAAAGCCGTGTGGACCCATTGCGGATCCAGGATTTGAAAGAGGGGGGCTCAAAATATTTATTTAAAAAAACGCAAAAAAGAAAGGGAGTCCTCCCCCGGGAAAATTTTGATTCCTCGATGGCCGGAAATGAACTTTCCCGACTTTTGAGGTGTCTTTTAATGACCTGTAAGTTCTTAAAAATTCAAGGTTTTTACTTTCTTGAAAAGGGTCAGGTAATTTTATCTCTTCCTATAGAAAAAACAAATCAGACATAGGCAATATATTATTATATTCCAACAATATTGAATAGTTGGATACGTAGTCTTTCTTCCATGGATCGATGAACCGATAGCCATGGAGAACGGACTTTCGTACATAAATTATTCAGTCGTCGAACCAAAAACAGTGCCACTGTTTTTAATTTTATTAATATTGAAGGCTAGTTGAGCTAAGCCGGCCCTAGTCCAATCTGCAAACCCATGCCTAGGTAGGTTAGCATGCCTTTTGTAAGCAAGGAGCAAGTACCTGTAGTATTTTGTTACGTTCCTTCACAAAGGGGGTTCGTCCGAACCCCCTTAACCCCCTGGATCCGCCACTGCAGCATTTGAGGAAATAGTACCTCAAGATGGCCGGACCATTTTCGGCAACCATAGAGATCTAATTATTATGTGTGGTGTTACCATAGAAAAGAAACCTTAAAAACATTTTCTTTGATGTATTTACTTACTTCAAAACTGTGAGACCACACGTCTCTCAGCTCCACCACAGTTGGGGCTGGGGTGGTAAAATTTGGGTAAATTGTACCTCATTGCCGGATGTGACACTCTTATATAGGCCTAGTAAAATTCATCATCATCGATCTAATTAATCGTTGTGATGTGCCATAGAAAATACTACTTCATGTGCCGAAACCCAATCTTATCTTTGCACGCTTTTTCTCATACTTCTCAAATTATAATAAAGGCACGCGCACTCGAGTCGAGTATTAGGTAGTTTAAATGTACAGCGCTCTTTCGTTAAAACTTGGGTCATTTATGCATTTATGTCAACAATTTTCAGGCATATCTTCTTGACTCACGAAAAGTGAGGGGACCAACCCTTCCTCCTTAAAAAAATATGAGGTGACGTTTACA